ACCTGTATGTGAGATTGAGAGTCTCTCTTGATCCCTCTGTTGCTGCCATGATTTCTTCATTATATTATATTAAAACAAACTTCATTGGATTGCAATTAAAATGCAATCACCTACAAAATATGCAATCACTATTCTTTACAGTAAATACTGTGAAATGCTTTGAGATAGCCTCCTGTCTTGAAAGATGTTATATCAAATGTAAGGATTATTTTATTATTACAATCATATTGTTCAATTGTAAACTACTGTTTCTTTTAATGTATATTAAGGGATTATTCATGTCCTTGTAAGACTTGGATGATTGAAACCATATACCCTCCTGTGCTAAAAACTGGAGGCCTTCAGAGTTATCAGATGGCTGCCAACATCACTACTTTCATACTGGACATGAAGAGGTGACCTGATAAGCGAGTCATTATCAGAGTCAAACACATTTGTGTGCTAACTTGCTTACATCTCTCAAACAAAGAATGCTCTAAGATCCAAAATTAACCTGGAGAGGACAGAACAAGAGATATCTCTCTGGGGTACATGGTAATGTACCCGACAACTATTTGCACATACATAGTGCCTTTCACATAGGAGAACATCTCAAAAGGTTTAGAAGAGGAAATGGAGCTGGTGAACTTGCTAATCCAATAACTGAGCCAAAGCAGGTTTATAGTACTTACTCCAAAGCACCTTGAATGATTGACCTATCTGCCCAGCGCATCAATAGGATTGAAGGGGAACACTTATAACTGGAAGATGGGATTCTTCCTCCAAAACTCACAGTAACTATGCAAATCAATGCTTGGATTGTGCAAGGCAATGCTTGGTTAGCTGTCCAAGCTGGGGCAAGGCATTTTGTACTAATAACCTGTGTGATCTTAACTGGTATATTTCCAGCAATATCACACTTTAAGATCCCTAACTATTGAAGCATGATATTAGCATTAGCATTATGTTTTATGACCTATCGCTTAATGCTTTTTGCAACCTTTCCCCATCAGCATTTTTTACAGTGAGATTGTCAGGATTTCGCCCACTTCCAGTGTGTACTGTTTGTTTTTACTGCTGGAAGATGTAAGGAGAGTTTGAAAAAATGACTTTGGCAGGAGCCTCTGTTAGTCGGAGGCTTTGTGTGTGAACAGCGGTCAAATGCAGTCAGATCTCATTATAACAGAATCACGAGAAATGGCAAAGTAATTCTTTTTTATTATCGGGCTCATCTTATTGAGGTTAGAGTACCTCGACAGACTATAATAAATCATCTGTCAGGGCTGGGGAAATGCTATTATATATTATATATATAATATTAAAAAAAAGGCTTCTAATACAAAAGGGCTTGCAGTAATGAAGTTGCAGTATAAGGAAGGCTAATTTGGTGCAATTTGAATGCCTTTTCGTTTTTTTTCTTGCTGAAGCTGCAAGGAGTGGAAGCAAGCTATATATGTTGGGCTTCGTTCCTGTAGGGTCATGTGTTAGTGGTGTATCCTCTGAAGCGCTTTGAGATGTCTCGAAATGTAAGAAGGTGCTATATCAAATAAGGATTATCATTCTAAGTGGAAGATAATGTTTATAATTATTACTCTGAGTATTCAGAGAATTAGTGTTGCAATTACTGCAAAAGGGTTTTCAATAATACCAGCAAGCAGGACAGAGATTCCAATTGGAGCACAATTTATAAAGCGCTCAGCACCCCAGCTGATCCCATAGTTCCCATTCTGGGGAGCACGGCAGAGCAACTGTATACACAGTAATAATCCCCCTTTGGTACATTACCTGATTTAATCTCCCATTTGATTAAGTGCCAAGGTAATAGCTATTGATTCCAGCACATGTTTAACCACCTGTCTGATCAAATACCTGGGTAGGATTAGATATTTTTTAATCAAAATTAATTCCATTTTAGATGATGAGAGCAGGGATTCTTCCCACTTTGCTCCCGTTAATCCTGCAAGCCAAAGCCTGAACAGGTAGGGTGGTCCTAGCTGGACAAGCAGCTGGAAAGCTTGCCAGACACTGCTCTCAATGGCAAGCTTTGTGTATTTTGCTCTTTGAACTCCAGGAGAGTTCCTCAACACACATACTGGAGTTCCCAAACCTTGACTCTTGCCGATATGCACCTAATGCGCTCAGAATTAGGAAAGCAGGATGCATCTCTCCAGGGAGAATGTGTGTATTCAATTGCAGACACAGGCAATTTTCCATGTGCAGCTGGCATACATATGTGGAACTCCCAGTCTGGTTTAGATACTCTTAAGCAAGTTGATGGGTTTCTGCATGTGACCGAAAAAAAATTGTGAATGCTTTTTGTAATAATTGTTATGAAGAAACTTATTGAATTTCTAGCTGTGGGTAACTGTGTCCCTGTATTTGTGGTTGCGTCTTCCCACCTTTTGGCTCCTTCCCATCTGCACCCTGCTATGCACTCAGAGAGTGGGATAAGGTAGACTGAAGGCTTCCCCACATAGTCATATCCTGTGATTAACCAACAGGAGACTTGCGTCTGAATATACACTGGTTTCTGATCATTTCCACAATGTCAGCTGACCAAAAACATGTTCTGCTAATAGGACTTTTCTGCCAGATTTTCCTCTTCCCTGAGATGGAAAATCCTCCAGGCAGATGTGTCCTTTTGCTGTGCTTTTTAGCTGCAAAGGCTTGTGCATTTTCATCTAGTGTAGTGCTAACGTTAGGCTTGATTTATAAACGGTGTCAAATGCACTGAATTTGTGCTGGGTGATGAAGGGGATGAGGGCACATTATGCCACCTCCTTGCCTAGTACTGGCCAATTTTAATGTATTCAATTATAACAGCCAGGCAGGAGCAGAGCATTCCTGCCAAAGCTAAACTGGTCTGGAGCATCGCTGATGATTAAGCAGCCTGCCTGTCTCACTCCTCAACGAGATTTAAGAGTGTAGCCAAGAGCCCAAGCTAAATAATAATAATCATTGCATTTAATATAGCGCCTTATCACGTCTTCAAGATGTCTCAAAGCGCTTCACAGAATATATGTAAAGTAAATTGACTATCTTTTGTGGGCGAAACGCGGGAAACAATTGCGCACAGCAGTGTCCCACAAACAGTTGTGGATTGAGAGATCAAATTATTATTTTTTTTTGGAGGGATTATTATGCCCAGAAAAGACCAAATGAGCGTGGTGGTCCTAGCTGGAACAAGTCAAATAAAAGTACCAGGGCTAAGATGTGTGCCCACCATCTCTAACATTCCTTATTCCGCAGTAAATCTTCAAACCCTTTCGACTAAAAATGAGAAAAACTCAATGAAGCCTTTGGCAGAAAATAAAGGTAGGGTTTTTGCCAGGGAGAGCATAGGTGTCACCCTTCTTCACAAGATGAAGGTTGCCTCAAGAAAACAAACATTAGCAAAAAAAAGTTTGTGACTACAATTTGCAATTGTATAATAATCCCTGCATTTGATGTAGCTCTTTACCACATCGTCAACATCTCAACGCACTACACAGGATTTTATTGTAAAGTGTAGTGACTGTGGGTTTGGTAGGCAAACACGGAAGCCAATTTGCTCACAGGAATGTTCTACAAACAGGTATAAAGTGAATGACCAATTTTATTTGGGGGATTGTTGGACACAATACCAGGAGAAACTTACTTTTCTTTTTGATTAGTGCCATGGGATCTTTAACATTGATCAGACAAACATGACTTTGGTTTATCTTCTCATCTGAAGGACAACACCTCTGACAATGCAGTACTCCCCAAGCATTGGACTGCATTGGAATGGCAGGTTAGACTGGGAGCTCAATGTGAGTTCCAGTCCCAATGTGGCTCGAATGCTATCAACTGAGCCAAGCTGACACAGAAATGACATCAAAGATGATCCCATCTGAAGGGAAAGTCCACTTACCGGGATGGGTGTGCTGCCATCTAGTGATCAGTTTCTTTCGCCACTGTTAAGAAAACACATACAAACTGACAAAATTCACAAATGTTACTTCATAGAAACTGTAAAGAAAACCTGAAAATGAGGATGATTTCAAGTCTGTACTGTAATCCCAAGTTTTAGCTATCATTTTAGCTATCATCAATCCTGTTGCCGGCTCATACTCATACACTGTTATACTATGTCTTTCTACAGAGATTTTCACTGGAGCCATATTTTGCAGGGTTGAAAGTGACGGGTACATTATTGTAGTTTTTTGCACAGAATGACACAGAAAGTTACCGTTAATGTTACAACTACTCCATGCTGGTATTTATACTCCATATGAGCCCCCAACCCTGTTAAACCCCTAATCCCTTCTCCCATACCCCTCTATTCCCTTCTCCCTCACTTTTCTTTTAAACTCCAATTTTGTTTTAGGGTAGTCTGTGTAATGTGCCAAACCTTTTAAGCACTCTGAGATGCTACTCTGTGTGCAGGGCATTATATAAGTGCGAGTTGTTGTTGACCTGTGACTGGCCTTTGTGATCTGCAGTCTACGTAGCTGTAACTAGTTAATACAGTCTTGAAAAATAGCTTGTCTTCAAAAATGCATCAACTTCTCATTTGTTTTCAATCTAATATAGTGGCTCAGCTAATGAAGGTATCAAAAGCCTGTAGCTTGAGCCTTTATTTCGCCTTAATCACGAAGATCAGAAGTATATCCACATTAAGATATTCCATTGCTGCACTGCTAATTGGTGTTTCTATGAATGATATTCCCATGTTTTTTCCCTTCAGTAATCTAAGAGCATCTTTTGAGGTTCCCTTGACTACAAACTCCCCACAAGTTTCCCTGTTGTTTCCCACCACCCCCCCCCCCCCCACCCCCGCCACCTGATTTACTGTGGGAATTTAGCACAGAAATCGATGCATCCCGAAATGATTTAAATTATTCATGTAAATTCCGCTGGTTGGCTTGTTTACAACCAGGTGGTCAGAAAATCTGTGTGATCGTCGCACTGCAATTGTTTGGAAGCTCTTTAAAGGGGAAAAAAGGTCTAACTCATCTGAGAGTTATGGAAGGTGATTGTTTGCTTCTCTTTTGTTTCAGAGCCAGCCCTGGCCTATGTTAAACAGCTGGAAGCTCGCGTGAAACAGCTAGAAGAGGAGAGCCGAATGCTACCACAGGTGATTGCGCGGCCTTGTTAACAACAGCTGGAGGATGACATCCTCTTAGCACTTTCTTTGCTAACCGAGAACAGTAAATGAATGCGACGGGATGCTTTTCCCACCTAGGATGCTTTTCAGAACAGTCAGAATCTAATGGCGCAGAACTGACTTAAAGTGAGGTGAAAAGCTCAACACAACAACAACGACGAAATGACATTTATATAGTGCCTTTCACGTCAGGAGGATGTCCCAAGATGCTGGACAGACAGAGTTACAGACCCGAACTGAGGGTCGGGGTGGGGAGGGTGGAGGGCAGGGGGGAAGCAGGGAGATCGAAAGCACGGTCGAAGAGGAGGGTCTTGATGTGGGTCTTGAAGGTGGCGAGGAAGGGGGCGAGACGGGGGGACTGCAGGATGGAGTTCCAGACGGTGGATGCAGTATGGTGGAAGGCCCGCCCGCCAATAGTGGGGCGAGCAAGGCGGGGGAAATGAAGCAGGCCAGAGCGGAGAGAGCGAACAGGATGGTAGGGGGTTAGGAGGTCAGAGAGGTATGGAGGAAGCAAGCCTGTGGAGGGCTTTGAAGTTGGGGACCAGAATCTTGAACTGTATTCTCTGTGTGATGGGAAGCCAGTGGAGTTGGGTAAGGATGGAAGATGATAGGGTCGCGTAGCCTAGTGTGGGAGAGGACGTGGGCTGCAGAGTTTTGGATGATCTGCAGTCTGTGGAGGGAGGAGTTGGGGAGGCTAACAAGCAGTGAGTTTGCATAGTCAAGCCTCGATGTAATGAAGGAATACATGAGGGTTTCGCAGCCTGCGGTGTGAGACGGTATCGGAGCTGAGTGACGTTGCGGAGGTGGGGGAAGGCAGAGCAGGTCATGGCACAGATGTGGGGTAGAAAGGATAGTTAAGGGTCAAACAAGACCCCAAAGTTCCGCACTGGCTTAGCAAGGTGGAGTGTGCAACCCTGGATGGTGATGCTGTCAGCGCCTGAGGTGAGGAGGCGCTGACGGGAGCCAATCAGGAGAGCCTCGGTCTTGTTGACGTTCAACTGAAGAAAGTAAGCTCTCATCCATAACTTCCTGTCCGACAGACATTCTGTCAGCACAGCAGTGGTCCTGGAGTCAAGGGTGGAGGGAGAGAGGTAGAGTTGGGGATCATCCTCATACATGTGGAAGTTGACCCCATGTCACCAAGAGGGAACTTATAGATTTTGAAGAGCAGGGGACAGAGCCCTGAGGAATACTGCACAAGATGGTGCGGGGAACAACAGATTCAATGCGTTAAATTGCAGAATTATCATTGATGATTTTCGACTGATTTCCAATTCCAAACCCTACCCTTCCCCTTTCTTTTCTCCTTCCCCTCCCTCTCCCTCTGAACGTTCAATCAAGATACCCATTACAGTCTCTCCAAAACATTGAGGAAGGTATTTGTTATATTACCCTGGTTTTGACTCCATTCATTTAATAGACAAATCAGAAGGACCGGCATTTTCACAGCGCTTTATTACTGTTGATTACAAATACGACAGTCGTGTGCAGTGATTTGCTTTCTTTGAAGCCAAACGCAGCAGCAGTTGTGCATGGAGCAAAGTCCCAGACACAGTCACATAGTGGATTTATCCTGGAGGAAGGTTGGCCAGGATGCTGGGAGGCAGTCTGCCTCACATTTTTAAATAGCGCCAAGCGATCGTTAGCATCTCAAGAACCAGCTTTACGAATTTTAAGACTGAATTTAAACATTTTCCATAATTTCCTAAAAAAAAGTTTTAAAATCTTAAGACAAACGGGTAAAAATTCTGCTCCTCATCTCTTGGGATGTTGGCCGCTAAAGGGTTTGCCAATTGCAGTCATAGCTATGTCATATGTAGAGGTGGAGGGACCTCTATATCATTGATGATTCTCAGTGTTTGGAAGATTTAAAGTATGTCACTCCTCAATATTATTTTCTTCACTGAGAGCAGGTTCATTCCTGTGAGTCTCTTCTCATAATGGCCAGAGTCCCAGAATCATCCTTGTTGCTTTTCTGTGGTTTTCTGTAATGCTGTTCTGTTTTGAAGGTTCAGTGCATGCAGGGCTCCAGATGTGATCTCATATATTAAAAAAATCCATCTAAGATTACAATTTGTTTTATTGATTTGCAGTGAAATTCACTTGTGACGTAACCTTGGATTTGTCTAGCTTTGTGGATAACAGCTTTACATTAACTGGAAACCTTTACCAAATCGTTTATTTTTAACAATCGACCCACTTTGGTTTGCGGGGCATCAACACAGAAAATGGGACTGGAACAGTTGTGGCTTAAGAGCTTTGTTTAATGTGTAAGAACATTACAAATTTCAATACATTGACAAATCTGCAAGTTGAGATAAGTATTTCAGTGTTTGTTTTAAGCATCTATTCCAGATATCTGGATAACTAACTCTGTGCTGTTCCTTTGATTGGGTGACGTGGAGTGTGTTTAAATAACTAAAAATCCACAGGTTTTTTTAAATAAAAGGCTTGTGCCAGGAGCCAAATAGCTCTCTTTATCTTCAGAATGGTTCAGATTGATCAGTTGATGGGAATATTTATTGCCATACTCAAGTTAGATACATGCAGTATTCTGTGCACATAGACGTTAGTTCCCGGGCAAAGTAGATGACGATGGTTGAAGAAGTCATTTGCGTCATGGTAAAGGTACAGTGGAGGTCCACTAGGTTGGTAGGCAAAGTGGCTTTGTTCTGTGTAACTTTGTTGCCATGCTTATCCAAATGAATAGTCAATTCATTCATGTGAAGCACTTTGAGAGGATTCGATGTGACAAGGTGTTGTCATATAAATTCTTTCTATAAAAAACAAGACTTCCTGGGACCTGTCTAGAAATTTCCCTTTGAGACTCTACACCATACTATTTATGATTCTGACCTCACTTTTTGAAGGAAATTGGGAAAACAGATATTTGTGGAAAAATAACATTCAGGGGCATTGGGAAAGAAAAGGGGAATGGGATTAGAGCAGATAGTTCCAGTGAGTTACAAATAGGCTGAGAGGCTGCTTTATGTACTGGAAATAGTCTGTGATTTTAATTCAGTGCTAACCTGAGTAAAAATAAATCAATGTCCCCTTGGGAGGCATGGCCAAGCAATTCATAAGTACGTGTCCCTTTGAAGGATTATCAAAACATTAGCAAATTACCACCTAGGTCAAAGTATTAGTTTGGATTGAGGTCATTTACCATGGTAGTATGATGCACTGATGTACTCTATTGAAAAATTATTATGCTATTAATCAAGTCTGTCAAGGAACTGTCACTGTTTGAAATTCTGAGTCAGTGGTCAGAGGGTTCATCGATACTATTGCTGGATGTCTTAATAATAATTATTACCTGACTAACACCTTACTATGTTAGTCTAGTACGATACAATATACAGCAGAGCTCAGTTTATAACGTGGTACACTTTAAAACAAAATAAATAAAATTCCAAACAGCATTATAACCAGAGAAAATTCCCAGTCAGCACTTCTGCATTCACTGTGGGAATGCACACATAAACCCAGCCATTCACTGTATACACCCACAAATAAACCAGAATCACTGTATACATCCACAAACAAATCCAGCCATTCCCTGTGGGCATGCACACAGAAACCCAGCCATTCACTGTGGGCATGTACGCAGAAACCAAGCTGTTCACGGTGGGCATGCACACAGAAACCCAGCCTATTTGTAACTGTATACACCCACAAATAAACCCAGTCATTCACTGTGTGCACACACATATACAAACCCAATCATTCACTGTATACACCCATGAACAAACCCAGTCATTCACTGTATAGACCCAAAACAAACCCAGTCATTCACTGTGTGCACACACATATATATACACCCGATCATTCACTGTGTGCACACGCAGAACTCGGCTGTTTCCCAATTTATTTTGTGCTTCTCAAGAAGAGTCATGCCTTCTCTATGTCCTTCACCCACCCTCGCCAGGCGAGGTTTAGACATTCCTCCGACTCATTCCCTCCCTCCCCTCATTGAAGGCCATTCTAAAGCGGACTTCTTTGACCATGTTTTTGGTCATTTCTCCCCTCCCCTCCCCTTCACCTCCCACCCCTAGCCTAGGTGCCCAGCCAGTGGTGTTAAGCGCTTTGAGACATTCCCCTCCGATGTGAAAGGTGCTACATAATGGTATCTCGTCACATAATCTTAGTGCTGGATGGTGTCACACTATTACATAATAATTCTTACATTTGTGCACACTTTACGTCGGGAGGATGTCCCAAATCATTTCATGGGGTATACTATAAAATGAAGTGACTGTGTATCTTGTGGGTGATCATGGCAGCCAATTTGGTTTGGGAGTGATTCTGTAATCGGTGGTAAAATTTACTAATCACGGCAACACAGCTTGTAAGGAGAAGAATACCATGATCTTGCCGCCAAAGTCTCTAAAGATTCCTCCATTCAGTATCAAGGATGTATCTTAACCCAAGGGTTTGGACGACATCTGTTACTGCAATCATGCAAACTGTTATTTTTTGCACATTGCTCATTATGGACTTCTGTAGCTCAGTGGTTAGAGCACTTGCCTCGCAAGCAAAAGACCTAGGTTTGATTCCCAGCAGGGCGAAACGTTGGACAAGTTTCCTTAGTCGATTGGCGAGTTGCTTTTCAGTGGATAAAAATTCCTTAAAAAAAACTCAATCCCTCTATGCACGACTGTTTGTGGGACACTTCTGTGAGCATTTGGCTGCCACGTTTCCCTCACAAAATATACAGTCAATTAATTTTGCAGTATATTCTGTGAAGTGCTATGAGACGTCTCGAAGACATAAAATGCTATATCAAATGCAAGGATTATTATTATTGTTGCTGCTTTACTTATTGCCAGTTTAGTGGCAATTTCTGCCGTGTTACTGAATTTCCTTTGAATGTTTATACCACTCGCTGTGGCCCTCCAACATTTAGCAATGTTCATTCCCCACACTAAAGTAATATAGGAAAGGCAGATTGCAGACAGCAGCAAGTGGGA